TGTGAATTTGCATGTGGGCAGATAATTACAAGGGTAGTCCATGGGGCCAAACTAAAAAAATAAATAAATAAACAAACAAACAATTGTACTGGCTGGTTTTGTGTGACAACTTGACACAAGCTAGACTCATCAGAAAGGAAAGAGCCTCAGTTGAGGAAATGTCTCCAAGAAATCCAGCTGTAAGGTATTTTCTCAATTAGTGATCAATGCCAGAGGGCCCAGGCCATCCCTGAGATGTTGGTCCTGAGTTCTAAAAGAAAACAGGGTAAGCAAGCCATGGGAAGCAAGTCAGTAAGCAGTTCCTCTCCAAAGCGTCCACATCAGCTCCTGCCTCCAGGATCCTGCCCTGTTTGAGTTCCTATCCTGGTTTCCTTCACTGATGAACAGCAATGCTAATAAGTCAAATAAACCTTTTCCTCCCAACTTACTTTTTGGTCATGGTGTTTTGTCACAGAATGGAAACCTATCTGAGACAAATTGGTACCAGCACAGTAGAGTATTATTGTGGGAGATCTGACCTTTGGAGATGATTGTGAAAGAGTGTAGGAACTTTGGTCTAGAAGAGCCATTGAGTTCTGTGGAATGCTATGCGGAAGATAAAAATATTGAGAAAAGTGCAGAGGACGGAGGCCTGGCTTATGAAGTTTCAGATAGAAGTTTGAAGACTATGGGGCCGTTTGTTATTTAGAATTAAGATCCTGTGGTTCTGGTTAGCTGGAACTGCAGAATCAGCTGTGATTAACAAGATAACAGAACTACTAATACGAAACCTTTATGTTCCTGGGACTATTGATGCTGGTCATGTGGAGCTAAGAAATTAGTGGTGATTAAGAAGAGACCAGCATCACTAAGGTGAAATCTTCTGGGAAGTATTTCCTGGGAGCACAGAGAAGCTGTGTTCTAGAGTCAGCCAAGGCTGCACCTCCTTCTGGCAGCCAGACTCAGTAATGTGTAAGAGTCACCCAGGTGGTACTGGTTTTGAAGGCATGAAGGGGTCATGGAGAGCAGCTGAGGCTTGGACTGTGAGAGGCCATTGGCCAAGGTGCAGCCTGAGTGGCAGTTGAAGTTCCAGGACTTAAGGGGTCATGGAGAGAAGTGGGGGCTTGGCACCATGAAGAGAACTTATGAAAGGCTATTGGTGACAGTGCAACCAAGTTTCAGCAGAAGACCCCAGCATATTGGAGATGCCAGTACAATGAAATGACCACCAAGAACAGCAGAAGCAGTGGAGTGAAACCAGCTAGAGACTAGAAGACAAGCTTCGTGTGCTGCAGAGACAGAGAAGACCCAAACTCTTGACAGTAGTCCAGAAGATCATGAGTGGGTCCTAGATATTGGACATGGAGTTTTTATACTGCTGGAGTTTGGTTTTGCTTGGTTCCGATTGTGATGGTGCCCTGTTTCTTCCTTCTTGGAAAAGGTATTTAATTTTGATTTTTAAAGGAGCACGCAGATGAAAGACTTGAATTTTTAATAGAGATTGGATACTTTAAAGAGACTGAAAATTTAATATGCTTGAATTTGCAAAGACAGTGGGACTTTTAAAATTATTTATGATTTTAATGTGAGATCTTAGGGTTTGATAATAAAGAAAGGGATGTGGCTTAATGGTGATGTGTTCATGTGTCAAGTTGACAAGGGGTCAGTTGTACTTGCTGGTTTTGTGTGTCAACTTGACACAAGCTAGAGTCATTAGAGAGGAAGGAGCCTCAATTGAGGAAATGACCACATGTGATCCAGCTACAAGGCATTCTCTAAATTAGTTATCAATGGGGAGATGGCCCAACCCATAATGGGTGGTGCATTCCCTGGGCTGGTGGTTCTGGGTTCTATAAGAAAACAGACTGAGCAAGCCGTGCAGAACAAATAAGTCAGCAGCACCCCTCCATTGTCTCTATGTCAGCTCCTGCCTCCAGGATCCTGCTCCGTTTGAGTTCCTGTCCTGACTTCTTTCAGTGATGAACAGCAATATTGAAGTATAAGCCAAATAAATCTTTTCCTCTCAAGTTGTTTTTTGGTTATGGTGTTTTGTCACAGAATGGAAACCCTAAGTAAGACAATAAGCAAATAAATGAGACAGTGAGCTGAGTATTTGCATTCATCTCTGCTCACTGACTGAGGGTACAATGGAACCAACTGCTCACACTCCTGCCATCACAGTCAGTATCACTCCCCTCTTACACCTTCTACACCGTGACAGACTACACTCTCAAGCTCTGAGCCTCCCTTCCTTAAGTTTTATCACAGCAATGAAAACAATGACTCATGCAAAAGAAATGGCGCTGAAGGATTGGTCTACTTCTGTGACAAACCTGACCATGTCTTCCATAAGCCTTCAGAGTTGGTTTGCAGGAAGAACATAGGAGAGTTTGGAGCTATTGATGCAGAAGCAGAGCTTGATGGGCCACTGTGGTTTGGGTTTGGAAGACCCAAATGTTGCTAGAGATGCCAACAGTAAAACCATCTACAAAATTCAGAAAGTAACAAGGACCTACCATGAACTGGGCAAGAGCCCATTTCTGTTATGGTTTTGCAGACTGTATTTTGCCTGTACCTTAAGAACTTGAGTAGGGCCTAACTAATGAGCAATGGACCAATTTGTCTGGTGGTGGGAACTTAAGATAGTTAACATTCAAGCTGCGTAATGGTTACTGCTCACTTTTCTTACCTAGGTTTACAATGAGAGATAAAAAGCAAGAACAGCATGGAAACATGAAAATTTGCAGCTTGATGAGGAAGAGTGTGAGTTTGAAGTTGCATATCAGAAAGAGCATGGAGAAAGTAGATGCATTTGTTAAAGAGATTAGTGATGCTAAGAAAAGTCATACTTTGTATTGAGACAGTAGGAAAAGTGACTTTAGGACAAGACTTTACCCATAAAGGGAGAGAGACAGAATGCAACCAGAGAGCTCCACTGATAAAAACACCCAACTAGAGAAGGGTTTTCACAGGTTCAACAGCCACTGTGCAGAGTGAACCCTATAACTGTGGCGGATGTGGGGACTCAATACATCGAGCTGACAGCAGAGCTTGGAAGCATCATCCCCATGGCACTGGTTGTTCAGACATACACAGTGCAAGAGTGAGAAGGTCATGGAGCTTGTACTGAGGTTTCAGAAAACCACTGAGGCCAGTGAATATTACCTAAGTTGCAATGGATAGCCTATGATGATGGAAATGTCCCAGGACCATGGGAAATCCTTAGAGGAATGCTGTAGGCATGGAGTAGAACTGGCTGAAGACATTGCTAACCTGTCCTTCCAGCAGTAGAACTGGAAGGGTGGGGTTTTAGAGCTCAGATAATGCCACCAAGAGCCCCAGATTCTGGACATGAGATTCTGCTTTGCTTTGGACTAATTTTTCTTTGGTGTGTTCCCACTCCCTTCTTTGGGGATGGGAATGCTTATTCTGTGTCACTGTATTTTGAAAGAATGAAAGTTTACAAATTACTTTTATGCTTATGTTTATGAGTGTCTTGCCTGCTTGTGTATATGTGAACATCATATGTGCCTGATGCCTGCAGAAGCCAGAGAAGTCTATTAGATGTCCTGGAACAGTAGTTACAAATGCTTATGAACCACCATGTGGGTTTTGGGAACTGAGCTCAGATTCTCTGAAGGGCAATAAGTTCTTAACCACTGAACCATCTCACTCTATCCCCCAGAGGTATATAATTTTAAAGTGTTTTATATGGCCTGACAGGAGTCTGTCTTGAGTGCCACAAAAGACTCTGGGCTTTTGAATAGTATTGACACTGTGGGTGTTTTTGAATTTTAACTAAGGGCATTTTGTATTATGAGATGGCCATGAACCTTTGAGGGCCAAGGGTAGAATGTTAGGGCTTAAACATTTGGGTGTTTGGGTGTCAAGTTGACAGTGGTGGATTTGTGATGATTAATGGTCATTATCAAGTTGAATGGATTTAGAATTTAGGAGAAACACATCTGGGCATGGCTCATGGGAGAGTGTGTGTGACCAGCTGTCTCAAGATCCTCTTGCCATAACTAGACACACTCTCACTATCACACCTTCCCTGCCAGCATGAACTGCACTTTCAATTATGAGCTAGACCTCTTAATCGTCTTCTGTCAACAATTTTGTTATAGTAATAAGGAAAGTAGTCACAAATCATAGTGTTTGTTACTTAAACCAATGAATGAAATGAATGGATGCATCAAAAGTTTAGAAATCTTAAAATTATTTCACATTTTTATGAGAATTTTCAAACATATAGAAAAGATAAAGGAATTGAACAATATACAAACCTACCACCAGATCCTACAATCAAACTTTTACTTAATTTTCCTTATTAGAAATTCATCTAGCTGCTATTCATCTATCACTCCGACACATTTGATCTTATAAAGACTACATTCTACTAAAAGTAATATACAGGTGAGGTGATTACTCAGTATTCTCAAAGTAATATTAAATATTACTGCACCATCTTCACAGAGTTGAGAAGAGGATCAACCACGTGGAATAAAATCCTCCAATGCTGTCTCATATCAGAAAGCATAATTTCAGCTGGACCTAAAAGAATGTACAACATTAGGGCTTTAGGAGAGTGGAGTCCTATACTTCATGCTTGAGGTGGCACACTTTTGAGTAAACATGAGTGGCATCCTTGTGACCAATACTACCAGATCCTTTTCTTCCTGGATGAGGTGCCCAGAGATTCAGCACCACTGACACCATACTGACGCCATCCTAAAAAGCAGTCATGTTGAGGATGCAATCATGAAGAGATAAAAAGAAGTCTTAGGTCTGATATTTTCACCATGAATGAAGCTAAAGGGCACAATTATAATCAAACAAGTATAGAGTAATAAAATTGAGGAAATGTTCAGAAAGACAGCCAGTCATTTCCTTTCTTGTCCTCCTCACCCTCCCTTTACCCTGGACTGAACCCAGGACTTTGGCTATGCCTGGCCAACACCCCACAACTGAGGTCTCCCAGCCCAGAAAGCAGTGATTTTTCAGCCCCTTTGTTACAGTACCTGTTGAAGAACTGAGAACTTCTCTGCCTGCCTTGTAAGCAGAGAAAGGAAGACAGACCTGCCAGAATGTGACCCTTGGCCTCAGGAAGGGTTGCTGCCTTGGCAGCAAACAGCATGGAGGCAGTTGATGGAGCAGTAACTGACAGGTAAATGACAGCACTTCCGTTCTGGGTGCCATCTTGGGAAGAGCTTCTAAGAGTCAGCTTTAAAAGGCTCTATTACTTCAGGTCCTTCCTGGGACATTTGCTGGTAATGGGAGTCAGACGTGATCCTGGCTGGTGCTTAAAAGGCAGACAAGAGAAGGTACAGAGCAATTACTGGGTGTCGGCACAATTTTGAAAACCAGTTACCTGTCCCTTGGCAAGAGAGAATTTGGCTGCTTGCAGCTGGAAGCTGGAACATTCTGTCTTGCTTTTGTTTTTCTTCTCTCTCTCTCTCTCTCTCTCTCTCTCTCTCTCTCTCTCTCTCTCTCTCTCTCTCTCTCTCTCTCTCCCTCCCTCCCTCCCTCCCTCCCTCCCTCCCTCCCTCCTTCAGGACTGCCCTCCCAATTCACTTGATTGTTTCTATCCACCTCAGATCTTAGAGTCATTTTTCCAAGGCCATCTGTTTGAGGCTGCCTGGTGAAGGGCCCGCACATTTACTCCGCAGTGGTCTTGTGGTGCCACTCTGGCTGGCACAGGGGCAGGGGACCCAGTGTTCACAGAACAAAGGACACCTGTCCTGGAATGGCCCATCTATGCTCAGCTGGGAAGAATTCATGCAAGCAAAACGGAGGGATAAACCTATTCATTGTGTGGCACAGCCTCTGTACTTTGTCAGCAAGATGGAGAACACTCACTATTTTCTCTGGCTTTTAGGATTTCCATATTTATTGCTTGTTTGCTACCACTTGGGAGAAGGGAAGGGGGAGAATACAACAACTTCTTCCATTTGGAATCTTAAGTATGAATGTGTGAGATTTACCCTCCCTCACCTGCTCCCCTGCAGTTTCAACAAGGCACAGAACCGTGGAATGTTCGATCTAGAAGCACTTGAGAAATTTAAACAATATCACCTCATTTTATACACAGGAAAGTCACAGGCAGGGATAAAGGGAATTTGTGAATGCCACACACCTAGTCAGTGACAGATTGAAACTTGCATTGACATCTGTGGAATCTTATACTTACTTTCCTATCACTGTACCATATGGGTTGTATTTCCATTCAAGTGTGGGGGGAGGGTGGCTCAGGGAATAAAATGTCTGCTTCTCAAGCACAAGGGCCTGAGTTCAGATCCCCAACACACCAGGAAAAGCTTAACCTGGAGAGATAACCTCTGTTCTGGGATGAGGCAAAGCAGAGACAGATGGATTCCCAGAGCTGACTGGACAGTCATTGTAGCTAAGTAAGTAATCTCTGGCTTCAGTGTGAGATTTTGTCTCAAAAAAAAAGTGATGAACAAGAGAGGAGGATGCCCAGTGTTGACCTTTGGCTTACACACATGTGCACACACACAAATATGCACACATGCATACATCACATATATATACAGGATTATATCATACATAGACATACACACAAAAGAATCTTATTACATATAGGCAATGTATGTATAAATGTCTACACAAGAAGGTGCCTGTCACTTGACGGAAACCTCAGAATCCCCTAACAAAGTAGGACTTAGAGTATAGTTGTGTAGTTGTTACACTAGGTAGCTGTGGCTAATGAAGCAGAGCAGGAGAGAAGTAGTCCCTGACCTCAAGGATTGCACCGTTTGGTTCAGGCAAAGACACATAAGAATATGATGCAACATGGAACAAAGTGTGTGCCATCCAACACCTGCCAGATGTGTGTTAAAGAACAGGATGGGATTGGTGTTAATCACAAGGTTCCACTTAAAAAAGAAGGAATATGATTGTGAGATCTATTGTATGATGTGACTGCAGTTAATACATACATGTTTGAAAGCTCCTAACACAGCGAGTTTCAAATGTTTTCAACCTAAGGCAATAGATATAGTAATTACCTTGATTTAATTATTTCATGATGTACGCATTTATCAAAACATCATGTTGTACTTCATAAATATACACAACTATTATTTATGTGAATTATTATTTATCAGTTAAGGGGAAAATAATGAGAAAAGGGTGATTTAGTCAAGTAGGCAGAGAAGGCTTTGTGGAAGTTCTCCTGGGAGAATTTCAACTGAGAGCCACCATGAGAATCCATTTCAAACATAAAAAAGAGCACAAGGAGGAGACACTGTGACCATCATGGAGTCAGATGAGGATCGTGTAAACACAGATTCTTGAACAGCATAAAGTGGGGCTGGAGAAGGGATAGCCATTCATGGGAGTGACAGTTATTAGGGGCTTTGAAGCAAATGCCACCGAGTGGGTGAAATGAGAAGCATGTCTCATTCCAGTCTGTGCACAGGTTATGCCATGGGAACTGGGTTTGGGATCATAATTCATTGAGAAGGTATTTAAGACCGAGACACAAAGAGAAGCAACATCTGGGGGAAATTGAGGCCAGAAAGCCCACTAGCCAAAGGAAAGACAAATGGTTGGTTCTAAGTGTAAGACAAGTGTAAGACTTTAAGGAATGACTGTAGTGCCCACCTGGCAAGGAACCAGGACAGGAGATCCCAGGTCAGGTTGCAATGAGCCTGGAAATTCATTGTAAGGGAGGTGAATTATATTCCAAGAGCTGTGGAAAAGTTTAACATTCTCTCCATTCTCTGGATTCCGTGTGCCCAAACAACATCTCCAAGGGAACAACTCATCTATTGACTTAGGACTTTTCCATTTGGGGGATAAATGTCTAGAATCCCAACAATCCCTCAGTTGCACACAAACAGGAAGATGGCCATCTCACTGCTCACCTTGTTCTTGATGACTAAGGTCCTGCCACAATTATCTAGTGTCCTGTTGCAGGTGCCTAAATAAAATAGGAAAGCCTGGCTAATGCTTTAGGATATAAATAGCCATTATCATATCTAGGAACAAGGATGCTATAATTAAAGTGATTTCAATAAATTTTAATAGATACTGAGAATATCTGAGGCCAATCAATTTACATAAAAATGTCCTCCCGCTGGAACTTGGTGAGTCATTTGGATGTGGAGAGGGACATAAGCCAACAGGTCTGGGTGAATAAGTAAAAGGTCAAATCTACATCCATAAGTGGCAGTTCGCACGCTCTCTTGCAGCATCGATTGAGCAACCCTTATTTATTCCTCTTGTTCTTCAAAACTCTGGAGTGCTGACCTAAGATACCTTAGTAGGCAGAACTAAAAGGAACTGACCTTATGTGACAGTGCCAGCAGTCTCTACAGGCTTCTGGCATTGTCTAAAGCCAGTTGTAAGAGACATACAGGAGCCTCTATGACAGCCATCTCTGGCTGCATTTTGTTGTGAACTCAAAATAGAATCTTGTCCCTTTAAGACCCTTTATCAAAATAATGGAATTCGTGATCTCACAATCACATAAGTCATTGCCAGCCCCCTTAAGTCAATTCATATTTCTGTAGTTCGTTACTGGCTCGGGAGGAAATTGCATTTATTATAATTGCCTCTAATTGCACCAGATTAGTGATTACAATTATTGATGGAAGCTGATTATTCATTAGCATCAAATCAATCCCTCTGCTTCCTCATTACTCCAAACAGTAACTCTGATGAGGCGAGGTCTAAAGGAGTCCAGGTCCATCACCTTCCCTGCGTGTCAGACAGCCTCCTGTGCTGTTTCTAAACAAACACCTGAAAACAACTTAGACCTTAAAGTGACAAAGAGGATTCTCTCTTTTCTCCCCGTCCAAGGTCGGATCTCCAATCCACAGTAACTTAGGAAGATATGAGATCTGTTAAACATCACTGAAGACTATTTGGAGGCCCCAGAATGTTTCAGAATTGCTAGCCTTTTCCTGGATGCCCTTCTTAGTTACATAATGGAAATTCAACACACCTTGCCAGATGGTCTGGAATATCTATCCCTTCAAACATGTAAAGAGAATAGAGCATATCGTCATAAGACAAGACTTTATATTCTAGCTGAATCCCACGTGTTTTCAAAAAAGCAGATATCACGTGCATCCAGTCTGAGCTACAGAGTTGTTGCATTGTAAGCTGTAGGCAGATAAGCCATGAGACCCCCTCTGCTGCCATGGATCAAACCTCTGTGACTCAGTGGCCTTTCCACCTCTGGGCAACTAAGATCGAAGAAACAGGAAGATGCCTTAGAGCATTTTTGGGTGGATTTATCTGAGATATCTAATGGCTTCAGTGACACAGAATTCCAGCCCATTCTTTCCCCAGGTTTCCTTCTTACCCAAATCTACTCCAGTCCCCAGGTCCTAGTGTATCAGCATCCTCTACTTTTCATCACTCGCCTCCTCTACTCATTCGATCCAGACAGTACAAATACCTACAGGTCACTGAGGCAGTCCAGAAACCAAGCTCCAACAGGAGATGCAGAGTCTGCCGCGGGCAGCAGAAGAAGGAAGGAGGGAGGCAACGTGAGGTGGCATCAGCCTTGCTTCCCACCACTCTTTTCCACATTGGTGCCCAGGCTAAATTTCTGCACAGTCAGACTTGACCCCTACAGTCTGTCCCAGGCTGCTTCCCCTGGGAAAGTAAACAGCAATTCCTGTGTGAAAAGTGGAGGTCCAGAGGCTGCAGGACTTGGCCCTAGAGACGTCTACTTGGAAGTCTTATCCAACAGTTCCTCAGCCATAGTGGAGGAAACTGAAGGTGAGTGTGTGAGTTCTCTGAACAGAATGACTGTCTCCTACTTCAAGTCTCCTGTGTGTACATTCTACTTGTGTGTCACTTGAAATGCTGCCATTTCCTCTAGAGACTCCTGGCCACATCCCAGGCCACCTAGCTCAGCAGAAAGAAATTAACCCTGTTCTCTACCTACCATCTTCCTCTGTCTCCTCTGGTTTCTGCGTCTCCCACATGGGCCAGCCTTTGCATTGGGAGATAAGCTGTTAGAGAGGGCATACAATTATAGCAGTGCTTTCAGAGAAACACAAAGATGTACGGATTCCGTGATGGATCAGAACACCGGAAAATGCTTGGCCTTTCGTGGCGACTGAACACAACAGGGCAATCCAATCTCGTCCAAGATTCATCAAAAGACACGCTCTTCCCTGAAGGGCGGCAGGACACTTGCCACTGACTTGTGCAGGGATCTATGCTCAGTGACTTTCTGATCCCCACCTCTGCAGCCGGAGCCAGGGGAAAGCTGTGTCTGGTGACCAAGGAGTATAGGATTTTGCCAGCGCTGCTCTTGGAGGCTACCCAAAACCAGCAAGCAGCTCCCACATGAACTGGGCAGAGGTTCTGTGTTACTTTGTTTCAATGCAGCTCCTCCTCGTGCTGAACTTCCAGATAGGCACAGACCTCGGCCCCCTCGCTCTCCCACAGCCTCTGTCAGCTGGTGTGCATGGCTCTTCTTCTTCCGGCTAACAGTTGGTAAATGAGTCCCAGTCTAGCTGCTCATGCAGCATGGCTGTGCAGAAAGAGCCTTCATCCTTATGGCAGGCACATTAATGCCAAGTTTGCTCGTTCTAATTAATAACAGTCAGTAAACACCAAAGAGAGCTAATGATGATTACAGGCCGCAGCTCCTGTGTGTTAGCAAACATGCCAGGCAGGTGGCCTCTCCTCCCTCCCAGGAAGGAGGCTGGGGCTGAGTCCTACAGAGCTGCCTGGCTTCCCATGGCCTCTACCCCACATTCAAAAGACCCTGTCTTACGTCTCAGCCTGGTTCCCAGAGAACCGGAAAAGGCCAGTCACATAGACAAGATTCTGAGCTGCCTCTGAGACCACAATAGTCAGGATTTTGGGTTCTGGGTTTCCCAGAGAAATCTCCCTAGCACTGGGAATAAAACATTTTCTTTCCTCCACTTTGGATTGTTTTTATCTCATTTCAAATTAATATAATTTGCTTTGAAAAGCTGAATTACTGCAGACATATGATAGAAAGGAAGGTGGGCTTTCCCTTCAGTCGCACCCCAGGATGGTACAGACACTGATTGGTCTGACTTCTCAATTGTCAGATCTGCTCATCTTTCTTCCACCCTCTCTTGTCGAGACTCGATTCTCTCCTTTTCTTGGTATCCACATGTCACCTTTACCTCCGCTGCTGTAAACCCATTTTCCAGATTCGGCAAAGTGTTTGCCCATTCTCTATTCCTAGACACATTTCTCCTGATTGAAAGGAGTCTTCTTCCCATGATCACCTTTTCCAGGCCTCAAACGGCCAAATTAAAAAGAGGTTGGCTCCATGGTGCCACCTGGCTGTCTCATCTCCCAATGTTCTCCTTCCGGAGGTCAGGGATGGCGGATATCAGACACAATTACCCCAGGATCTTCTCACTTAGCTACAAATTTAAAGGTGGAGATTTTGTTTGCAACATGGTTGGTCTTAGGCCTGGCTTTGAACTTGGGTTGCATCTGCCAGCCAGGTGCTGGGATCATAGATCAGGGTTACTGCATCTGGCTAACTTTGAGATTTTTGCATTTTTCAAAATGTCCCCTCCTGTATGGCCATGCTGTACAGGAATCTGCATGGAACAGACATGTTGGGACTGCAAGGCATTCTTCAGGGAGACTGTAGCCCACAGGAGAGCTCTGTGGGCAAAGTCCCATGCCAAGGTCTTTGAATGTCCAAGAAGGGAATGAAACTGCAGTAGGCAGGTGTGATTAGAGGGACAGGGCAGGCCACAGTGATCTCAGAATCTCATCCATGCCCTGTTCCTTTTCCAGAAGCCCCCAGACCCCCTGCAATCTGCCACTGTTTTGTTGTTAAAGCTAACCTCTTCTTAGAAGTGTCAGTTCATTTGCTTGCAGTGATAATACTCCTCCCACCACTGTCCCGGTAATTCAGACAATACTCTGCTCCTCAATGGACTGTGCAATCTAATGCAGCAGCCAGAACCCATTCTCCACGAGTTTAAAGAAGCTAAGGTGGAGAAATATGAAAAGCGCTACCATTTCTCAGATGATAATAAACAGATGTGAGTAAATAATTGAGTGTGACTAGAATGGCTTAGCAAATTGTCTTTTTAGATGTGCGAGAGACTTTCCATTTCTCTGTTTTTCTTCCTTCCTTCCTTTCTTTCTTCTTTTCTCTTTCTTTCTTACTATGTATGCCTTCTTCTCAGTGGCCTTTAGTTTCCTTCCTTTTGACTATTCAACTACTCTTCTTCTCTTTCATCTTTCACATTCTCTTTGTTCTTTTAGTCACAGAAAGTAATTAGAATGCCTTCCTAATTTGGACCTGACATTTAGTGCATCCATTTGTTCATTCATTCATTCATTCATTCATCCACTTATTCATTCATTCCACTGGTATTCTCTGAGATTTTTATCAGTCTCTTTGCTAAGTTGTCAGAAAATAGATCCTAGTGTCTAAGAAACTGAGCTAGTCAGAGGGAGAAAGAGTTAAATCAAAGACAACTATTTTATTCATTATTATTATTATTATTTGATACAGAGTCTCTTGATACACTTGTCCTACTGCCTCTACCTCCTCAGTGGTAGAATTATAGCCACGCACCACCATACCCAGTTTATGTAGTGTGGGGGTTGAACGCAGAGTTTCAGGCAGTGAAGCTACATCCCCAGCACTCAGAACACAGCTAACTTCAGACAGATTCTCTGGGGTTTAAAGCTGACAAGCAGCTTGATGGTGGCATCTTGGGGAACTTTGTAGAGTGAGTGATGTTGGGAACACTGAAATCCAGTGTAAGGTGTCAGCAAGCAGAAGGCAGGAGAGGCTGGTGAGGGGACAGATTCCCGGCCGCCGGAACAGCCTGAATAAAATCCTGATGGTATGAAATGGCCCAGAACATGTGAACAACTGGAAATAACCACACCTGGCTGAGGAGGAGGCAATGAGGCAGGAGCCAGGGGATGGTGGCTGAATTTGATCATCAAGAGCTTGCCAAGCACAGAGAGATGCAAACAGCTTTACATATGGGTAGTTAGCTTGGGGAGCTGGGAGGCGAGCATTTACATTTTATCTCTCTTCCTGCTGTTGTATTTGAATTTCATACCAGTGAGAAAGTGTTTTACTTTTACTTGAAGGAAATGCTGATTGTGCATATTCCCACCGCCAGGTTTCACTGATGAGGCTTCAGGTCGCTCTTTTTTGAGGGAGGAGACAGGGAAGGTGGCATGTTGAAGCCACTCACTGCAGCTGGATGCCTCCTCCCCTACTCTCAGCAGTCTGTGAGCTGACTAAACCAAGCTACATCTTACCTCTTGGTTAATTTTGTTTTTCTATTATAGAAACGGACATCCGGTCTCAGCCAAGCAGGAGGCTAAGCGTCTCCTCATTTGGGTCTGAGGCCTTTAGCAGAGATTCCCAGTTTTGCTTTAAGCAAAAGCAACACTCCTAGCCCCCTGGTTGGTGGAGGCTGGGTATCTGCCAGGAGATTCTAAAGACTTTACCTATTGGTGACAAAGATGTTAGCTTATAGAAAAGGGAAGAAAGTGGCCTCTTGCTTTCATAACTCTACTCTGGACTTGGAGCTTTCCAAACTCATCATGGTTCTGTTCACAAAAGAAACAAAGGTCCCGGCAGGAGTCTTCTCCTGATTATAGTCCCCTGTCATGACACTCACTTGACCACTTTCTACACAGAAAGAACATCTGCTGAGCTGCATACCTGCCTGAGTCCTCAACCAGCCACGGTGGGCATTGTCATGGTGTGGGACTCAACCACACTGCTCTCTCCGTCCTGCCATGATGGAGGTAATGCGCGTGCTCACCAGCTATCGTGCCCTGCTTTCCCGGCGCGATAGCTGGTGTCCCAGCTAGAGAGTCCCAGCAGCCTCTACATCTGCCTTTCAGCCGGGCAGGTAAACAAAGCAGCGGCGTGCCCTAGGAGTGAAAGCACTACCACGGACTCTGCAGAGCTCTTACAGGTGTTCTCTGTCTAGACTGGGAATTTCTAGGTTCCTGGCATTTTGTTTAAAGAATTAAAGAGTCTCAGAGGAATAGCGAAGTGCTGAGGAATTTTCTTCAAAACCAAAGCAAAAGTTACAGAGTAGATAAATTGTAGCGGGTTTCTTCTGGTGTGTGTGGGTGGAGGAGGTGTTGGTTGCTATGGGTGTGATGTGGATACTTCTCTGTTTTGATTGGCAGGCTTGGGTTATACAATTTTGTAAACTGCTCATATCCTTTCTCCTGTGTAGTTTGCATTCTCAATCCTGCATCCTGAAAAGTTCACAGAGGACACAGTTTGTCTTACTAGGCATGTACCTAAAATGTCCAGACTAAGTTGGTTCCATATTCTTAGTCCTAGGATGTGTTTGACCATTAAGGAGGAGTTACTGAGGGACTGTTAAAGAGCTATTAGAAGATTTTAGTGTGGGGTTTGGAGAGAGGTGTGCAGTACAGTTCAATCCAGGTGAAGGTCCCAGGTTTCTAAACTATCCCTGCAAACTATCTGCTTCAAAGTATCCCAGAGGCTGAAGAATGAATTAGCACTGTTTTGGAAATGACAGCAGAAAGCCCCTTTGTTTTTCTTTCCTTTCCATGGCTTCTCAAGCTGCACCTCTGATGTCATTCTAGATGGAATAGCAGGCCAGGGAGCTGCCATGAACTCTGTCTGGGCTCTTCTTGTTCCCTGTCGCTGCAGTGCTGTAGGCTCTGGGGCATGCCCTGTGTATTCTCTCTGTGTTCCCATCCCTGAGGCCTACTCCAGCTCCCTTCTTCCAACAGTTTAGGTCTGAGCTTTCTTCCTGACCCTCGC